AAATTATTTTTATGGCAATCGTTTGCATAACTTATATATTCCAATACATTGACAAAAGCAATACACATAAGAAATATATTATACAATAATAATAATGTTTTGTTTTACAATGAATTTTATTTCAACAAAATAATCGCAAAAGTCTTAACGCATAAAATAATTTAAACGTTATATTCTTAAAGTCTTGGAATCTTAAGACTTATATTAAAAGAGTAAAATGGATATCATTTTAATGTTAATACATCTCAAGTCTTTAGGTTTAGAAATTTAATACTCTTTTCCAATAATAGGGAAAAATATTCTAGAAGTGAGTGAAGAATAAATTGAAATTTATATTCCTTTTTATGGTTTAGTTTACAGATAAAAAATATTTTTCAATAGAAATGCAAATAATAATTATAAATTCACTGCAAAAAACAATCTGAAAATCGAAAACATGACCAAAATTTTAAAACTACAAAAACCCTTCAGTTTTATGCGATTTCTATTCCGTTTGTGTTTTTGAAAGCATTATAGCGTTTAGTATGAAATTCATTAATCAATTAAAATGAATTGATTTTAAAAATAAATCGATTAAATGCTAATTCAAGCAAATATAGGGAGAATGTATAGGGAGAAGGCATTGTGAACATGGAGGTGTTTGAGGCACTTCCTAAGTATTTGTGGTAACTATAGACAATTGTATAAGATCTTGATTCCCTCCCATTTTACGATCAACTATTGTATTGATTTTGAAATATTAATATTTCACTGAAAATGTAATTTAATATATTCATGATTTGAATTGTATTACAGGAGGCGCCCAGTGGTGTAGTACGGGAGGACACATTCAAACTAATTTATGCACAATTCTTCCCGAAAGGTGCTGACACTAACCAATACGCTCACTATGTGTTCAATACTTTTGACCCTGATAAAACTGGTGCCATCACTTTCACTGTTAGTCCGCATCCATTATTCATACCATCCTTTGCATCCAATTGATTGCCTTTTCATTATCTATCAGGACTTTGTGATAGGACTGTCAGTATTGGCCAGGGGTACGGTTCAGGACAAACTTCGCTGGACATTCAGTCTCTACGATATTAATAACGACGGAATGATTACCAAAGACGAGTTGTCGCGTATTATTTCAGCCATTTATGATTTGATGGGAAAGTCAGTGGAGCCCATGATTGAAGAAAACACATCTAGAGATCACGTCGAGAGAGTGTTTCAAGTATTGAACCATTCATTCATTGCTCTGGAGTCTCACCATTTGATGGCTTTATTTGAATTTATTTCTATTCGTTTAGTTTTTAGTGTTTTCTTTGGCTTAAATTCTCGTTTAATTTGTATTGCATTTATCTAACAATAATTGAAAGCTTGATTGTATGGCCACTATTGAATGAATGGCTTAAAAGTTTGTGTTTGTGATTGAAATGTAATTGTATTGCTATTATGACAGAAACTGGACCTCAATAAGGATGGATTTGTAACAGTCGATCAATTCCTTGACTCTTGTCTTAAAGTGAGTTCCGTTTTATTGGTTTCCATCAAATGATATTAAAATCAAAGAATCAAATAATTATTGTGTGTATTGTTTTGTCTGAATGGATGGATAGGATGAGACAATAACGCGTTCACTTGAAGTATTCAATACAATGCTGTGATTAATAGGAGATACCAATAGTTAAATGGATGGCGAACTCGGGTTCTGTGAGGCATCACATCATT